TTATTATGTACATGAATAAATTTCTGAGGGGGTGACAAGCCCATTTTTCAATATATTGTGTGTGTTATTTATTATATTTAATCAAAATTTGATTGATAATATCCTAATCACGAACACAAAGTTTGATGGTCTGCTAAAACTTTTCAGCAAGGAAATTCAAAAAAGGGCTCTGTTACCCCCTGGAGTATCAATCTGGGAATCATCATAGTTAATTTCACAGTTCCAGCACCTTTTGAAAGTTCTCCAGGCCTGGAATAAGAGAACCATGTGCACTACCCTGATATTCTGCTGTAACTTGAAAACCAGTGAACATAACTTGATGAAATTTTGTAGTTCTTCTAATGCTTTTGCTATAAGTCTATCCTGAAAATTTCATTAAGATATCTCAATAAACAAAAAAGTTGGTATCCGATGGTAGCCTCCCCCCTTAAGCGGGTTACCGGAGCGGGGAATACGGTCCGCTTACGAGCAGTCTAAGCGGAGCGCAGTGCGTCGCTGTCGTTTTTGCAAGCGGAAGGGCGACAACCCGCACGCCCTCTCTCGTGCGTGCAGCAACTTTGCTCATTTCAAGATGGCTTCCTCCGGAGACGGCACGCTTTCCGCGAGTGCTGCAGCTTCGCTAGGGCATTCTAGCCACCCTAGCTTTGCCGTCACCTGCCCAGTGCAAGCCGCAAAAACACAGTTTCAACGGTGAAAAATAAAAACGCCACCACCACACACGCGTAAAAAGCGCAAACAACACACAGTGAATTCTTGCAATGGATCTAGGACGGAACCTTGCTGGCTTTTGAGCGGCTACTATCAAGTCAGAGCTTGCTTCTTTGTCAAAAAAAATAGGCGGTTAATACATTGAAAGTGGATATCTAAATACTTCATGAAAAGATTTATACGTTATTGCTTTGCTTTGTATACATGAAAAAATTGTTTTTTATTTTGTTTACCGACGGTGAAAACGACCAGAGGGCGCTGCAACTGCAAAAGGTCAGCTTCGCTGCCGGCAACGAATAACTAAAAAAGGAAAATCGGCCGCCGCTCCGCTGCTGCTTCACGGAGCGCAGCGGACCACAAAAACGTCCAACTTATTAAGAAAGTTTTGATTAGGAATCATAAATAACACTCAATATATTTAAAAAATGGGTTTGTCTACACCTCAGAAATTAGTTACATCGATAATAAAAGAGGGCTTATAAAATAGGATGAGTGGTTCTTCAGATACGGCTGGAACAAGCAGCCTCATTAGCCAAAAAAAGTAATCTTGAGAAAAGGACAGTTGAAAGTTTTGGGCACGTGCAAATCTAAAACAACCCTGCGGCATAACTGGAGGTGTCCTTTGGCACTCCCTTCCTTGGCCACCTTTCCGTCTTCTCTAAGGGTCTCTTAGCCTTTTTCAAGCGCAGTGAATTTTTCTCGGCTGCCCACGCTTCATTGCCTGAAATTCCCGCTTTGTCACTGGCATAGCGCTGAGTTCTCTTTGAACAGCAGCTCGTTCTTGATCCGCCGCCTCTTTCTCTTCGCACGTCAGAAAGCGTGTTCGCAAGTGCACGGTTGACGACGCGATCGCATTCTGGGAGGCCAATGAAAGAGAGGATGTGGAAGCCCCTGTCCATGACATACCTCGCGCACTTGCAACGTCAAATTTTTGCACCGATGGAGCAGGAGTCCCGTGTCTAGGCACATCGATGTAACCACTCTTGCGTAGATGAAGAAGCTGCTCCACATGTATTGTCGGCACGATCATCGTTTGCGCACATGCGAGCAGAGAGCCCCGCCATGCCGGCAACCTTCCTAGATCACTTCCTTGCACCGAACACTTGTTGCATCTTCCTTTTCGTTGGATGCATCAGGAGCGAATGCAACAACGGTCTCGCAAAGACAGTTGAAAATTGTCTGGTGAAGACGTTTGAAAATCGTTTTGTAAAAACGGTTGAAATGTGAGATTATGTGAACGGCTGCAACGATAGACGATAGCGAGCGAAACACTAAGAAAACGCCGGGGGCGGAGTAGTAGCAGACGGCGGAGAGCTGCTTTATGTGCAAGAATATTACGTCATCGCGCGCATCGGCCAATCTCTGCTGCGGAAAACTTCAAAGCTCTCGCGAGCCCTCCAATCATGAGAAGCTTGCTCCTCTCCTGCGCTGCTGCCATCGCCACGGATGGCCGGATAAGAAAGTGCAAGACTTCACAAACAAAACAATACCAAAATGGTGGAGCTCTGTCAAGCGGTCGAGAAACTGAGATCTCACTAAGTTGGGCTATTTTGAGCGCTCCCGTGACACTTGAAGGCTGCAACGGCTTGTTGTAAACTTTATTTCAAATAGTTTCGTGATGAAGTAGATGTTGATATTTACAAAAAGGGCTAAGAAAAAAATGGCAGTGTTCAAATTAATGAGGCTTTACTATAATAGAATAAGTACAGGCATTTCCAAAGTATAGTTCATACACTGACAGAGTGAAAACCACTTTGCTTGAATGTAGTCCGCATTTAAGGGGGGGACGCAATTTTGGGATCGCGAAAAATGGCAAAAAATCGATTTTTTTAAACTCAAGTTTTCAGTTTCTGGAACCCTTTTTCTATCTGGTTCCAGAATATCTACACTGAAAACCGCGCAGAAGTGCTTCGGAAACGTTTCACCCACCTAGGTAGCAAAACTTTTTCTGGAAATGGCGAGAAAACGGCGATTTTCAAAAAATTATAGCTTCGCGATGCTTGGGCCGGGAGCCGGCTTCTTGGGCTCATCGGAAAGAGCATTTCTCCGTGTTTAACTTTCCCGCCTCAGCTGGCTCCTGCCTTTAACAACAAGCGAGCAAAAAGCAAATGTTTGAAGGTCGTTTTGAGGCCCTTGATTGGCCATGGCCGCCATGTTGCCTCAGCTCGCCTCGCCATTGGCCCGATGCTCGCTCCGGGAGATCGTCGTCTGCTGCTTGTGCGTCGCGAGGACATGGCTCTCGAAAATCGCCACTTCGTGATGTGTTCACGGCTTGATAATCACTTAAGATATAACTACGCTTTAGTTACGAGCAGTAAGCGGATGCGCGATCAGCTTACTACGAGCGGGAGTGCAGTCTACGAGCGCCGCGCGTCATCGCAGTCGTCTTTAGCCCTAACTCCGCCGACAGAAGACTGCGGCCAGGAACGACGTGCTAGCGCATTCGTGGCGACGTGCTTCTTCGCAAGCAACAAAGCTGTAAGCGGCGGCACGATCTGATTACTACGAGTGGCCGCACCGGATGCTCGATCAGATTACTACGAGCGGGTGCGCAGCGGTCTACAAGCGCGGCGTGTCATCGGAGTCGTCTTTAGCCCTAACTCCGCTGACAGCGAGACGGCGGGCAGGAACGACGCGCTAGCGCACTCTTGGCGACGTGCTTCTTCGCAAGAAATAAAGCACATCACTCGCTAGCTCCTCTGAACTACGTAACGGCATTTTAAGGATCGGCAGCGGACCGCATACTCAAGCTCGGCACCCCTCCCCCCTTCTCTGCCTAGGATTGCTCGGAGCAGTGGCCAGCAGTTTCACACGTCGTCACTCGAAAATGTGGTGTCAAGCGCAGTGCGTGCCGATTTTTTGTCATCGTAATTACACATTTCGCACATCGTCACCGAACGCCGCCGGCATGTGCATTACGCGCCGGTTGCACTGTCCACGCGGCCGTGCACTCCACGGTCATATGGAGTGCTGTTAATAAGCTTTTGTGATGCAATTTAGACATGTGTGATGCGATTTATACGTGCTTGGAACTGTGCTTGGTATCGCCATGAACGTCTATGTCTATGAATGTTCTGAGGCAATGAAAGCCTTGTAGATTAGCGTTTCCGCGATCGGTTGTATGATGATGCGTTTGACGGCTAGAGCGGCAAAAGAGCACGTATGAATCAGGGGCAAGAATTTTTATATGCCCGTTTTACGTCATTAAATATACTGCTAAAAATTCCTGTGCCACCAGTCTTCTGCCCATAACTTTGTTATTTGGAAAGCAGGCATAGGCTGTCATGGTGTGATCCATTTCTCTGATGCAATAAATCCCTCTCTAAATAAAGAAATGTTCAGTGAATACTTATAATCAAGAACTTAATTACGCTAATTTGAACTTCGGCACAAGAAATATGTGTAATCAATTCAGTATATGGTCTCATTCAATTACAATCTTTTCTGTCATGCCTATCACACCACTCCTTCATACAAAGAACTTGGTTTGAAATCCATACTTGTTCTTAGTAAAACATGAAAAGGAAATTATGGGGGGGAAAAAAAGGGCAACCAAGGCACACTGGTCAGAGACCAGATACCTGAAAAGTCAAATATCACAAGACAAACCTAAGATCCCAATCTTTAGGTGTTTTAGAAACGTAAAAAGAAGTTGAAACTTTAAACGCAGTTTTCTCAATACTGTTTTTTTGGCATTATACTCAGCTCGTGAAGCAGATATCTGGGCAACCACTTTACAGATTTTGATTCCGTTTATTTTGTAATGCTCCTTGAACTGTGCTTCAGGGGGCTGCGATCTTAGTTTTTCATTTTACTCCTTAAAGAATTTTTTATAGAGTTTCTTGTTTGTAGTGCAAGTGTGCTCATTGCAACGTCGCTGGACAAAACGTTAACTACAAGTTTTAGTGTTGCAAATATATTATTTTGAGAACGCAGCCCCCTTCAACATACATTTGGCTGTGGATACAGCAATTACCAACCATTTTTGTCATTTTATAAATCCTCCAGCCCCTCCACGTGGTTCAATTGAAAAATAATTTGTCTCTCATTAGGTATTTGTGCTATCGCCTCGAAATTTTTGTGGATGCACGGTGAGGCCATTCTTAGTGTCTGTGGCTATTTTCGTCATCATCCGACCAGAAACAAGAAAGTTCATTCTTAAAGGCACGTCCCCCCTTAAGCAAAGATCGGCCATTCAGCAGTGGTATGACAGCAGACTGCCTCCCTGAACAGCTAGTTTTAGATTTGGGGGCACGGTCTGGCCACAACTCAACTGATGCAACCTTGCTTACCAGCGTTGATGAGGTACCGAAGAAGTTCCAGGTGTCCCTCCTGGGCAGCCTCCATGAGCGGAGTGCTGGCACCCAGCTCCAGCTGGGCACCTGCCTTGAGCAGGAAGTCTGCTACTTCCAGAAAGCCCCCACAGCAGGCCAGTGTGAGAGCAGTCTCCTGCAGCCACAATGAAAACAAACAGCTCAATACGGCACAAATATTTCCTCACACTTCAACCAATGTACTAGAGTAAAGCACACATGGAACGAACATTTCCAGGAACGCATGAAATTCACCGCTTCCGACTGATACAGTAGAGCTGCAACTATGCCACTTTGAGTGGACCATGCAAAACCACAGTATAATAGATCCATTTCAAAGCAATCCCAGAACAACAACCCCCCCCCCCGCGGACATGTGAAGGACCATGGGAAAAGCGTGTACGTCGAGTGCCCCCACTGTTTTGCCGCCTGCTACTCGTGGCGCCTTAAGAACACCAAACGAAAATGATGTGTCACCCCATTTTGACTATTATAATACCCTAAATACATGTCTGAAAACACCTGCATGTATCTCGTTACATGAAATTCAAAATGAATGATGCAGTGAGTGTAGGTATTACCGAGCAGGTGTATACCAGATAAAGCAGTTAAGCAGCATGCGAGTTACCACATGCCAATACATACAGTGTATACCACTTATAACATAACCAATTATAGTGCAGAATCACTCACAATGCGGCCTTTTTATAATCCCATTTATCCTCCCATTGAACCCCATGTATATGCATACCGCTTATTGTGCAGTCCCCCAAGATGAAAGACCGGTTATAATGCGGTTGCCGGAAATTGTGACAAATGCGGTAGCGAGTGCGCTTCTGAAAGGAAGCGCGCTGGGTGCACCGCCAGGGAGCAAACAACAAGGTCGTCACGGAGGAGTACGACGGGGCTAGACTGCACCTGTGCGAAGCACTCGCGGGTGCAGTCTAGGTGCAGTCTAGCCCTGCCATGGGAGGAGGTGGGGACACGGAGTGAACGAACGAAGGGCGGAGGAAAGAAAAAGAAAATGAAAAAAGACCGCAGGACACTGCACAGGCTCGACGAGTAAGGGAGGAGGACGGTTGCCTCGGTGACTGATAAGCCTTTGCACCGGCACGACGCGGCTACAGCGTACTACGTCGCTAGCGTGGCTTTGGCCACGCGCCACTCAATGTGGCACGTTCGATGCCATCCTTACCAACTGCCTGCGCTTAAGAGTTTCCTGGCGGTAAAGACGTCGTCGTTATCGAGCTTGCAACAAATATAGTGTTTGCTTCCTTGTCCGTAAATTGAAAACCTTTTATGGTTTTATGATGCGAGCTTTCACTCTTGCTGCCAGTGTGCTGTCGTACGTAAGCTTGGTGAGTTGTCGTCGTTGCTGATTTGCCGGCCACGAACGCAAACTTCGTATCATGCACGCTGTTCTTGGTTCACTACTAGAGCGATCTTTTTGACGCCGAATCTTCATGTTTTAGACTAACGTTTCGCGACAACATACCAAACGGCAAGCTAGGCCTAATCGGCACTGGTTGCGCTTCGATCAGTAGCGGTCACGTGAATCCAAGTGCGGTTTGGTACCAAATCAACGAAACTCTTTGCGGTGGCCACACTTGACGGGAAAGGATACATATCAATGAAAATGAGGGCAGCACCTGTAGAGCTCAAATAGTGGTTCGCAATTCGATTGCGATGTCTTAAGGGGGTGGACGGGTCTTTGGGACCGAAAAATCGCGAAAAAAGCTTTTTTTTTTTTTTTTTTCAATGGCATTTTTGAATTCTGCAAGCATTTTTACATCAGCCTGCCGATTTTCAGACTCCAAAAAGCGATAATTTACTTGTTATATCACTACAAAGAGGACTCGCGAGCTTGATTTGCGCAGAATTTAACAAAAAAACACTTTTTTCGCGACGCAGAGCTACCGTTTGCTGAAAGGCATAGCCACGATCTTAGTCTTGTTTGAAAGCACATTTCTCCATCTTTCGATTCCGGCTCAAACAACCTTGCTGCGCTCATTGGTTGCCAAAAAAAAGCAACCGAAAAAAGCAATGTACGCAACGCTATTGGTTGTTGAGTGCACGTGACCATGAGGTGGCTACTTCATTGGCTGATTGGGCTCGCATCGTCTGCTCGGCGCGTCAAGAACGCGTGAACAACGTGTTGTGCCGCCATACCGCCTGTGCTTTGACAGTGTGCTCGCGATCGAAGTTGCTGCAATGCCAGGATCATCGTGTAAGTTTCACACCTGTCATAAACCTGCGATGTTCCCAAATTCGACGCATTGCCGGCACATCAATGATTGGAACGTGCAGATGAACATTGCGCACATCGAGACTCCACGACCGCCCTTTCCCTTCTCCACCGAAGGCGAAAGAATTGCTGAGGCGCCCGAGATAGTCGACGGGGAGTTAGGCCTAGTGGGTCCGCCGGCCACACACGCTTCGCAAAGCAGCGGCCGCATCCGCCGTGACACAGCCTTGCTAACGAAATCGGAGCTGCAGGTAAGGCATACTAAGGCCGATTCGAGGCTGCAGGAACTGGCATCGATGGCCGCGTCGAAGAGAAAATTTGAGTCTTTGAGGAACGACGCACCGGCCGGCGCCGCTCCCCCGCAGCAAAGCGAAGAGGAGGCAAGTTTTTTGATCGCCGATCTTGGCTGCATCGGTCAACTGCTCGATGCCATGAGATGTAAAATTTGCTACAGAAGCGTCTGTATTCACAGACAAGAGAGGCAATACGGCCTTGCCGTGAAGATGTGTGCGCGTTGCGTGAACTGTGGCGACATCGCGCAAGCGTGGAGCTCTCCGCGAGTGCATAACTGAATGCATTCAGTAATGCACTGCACTCGGTTATGTCCTACCAACTTGCCCAAGTTTCCACGCTTCATACCTCCGTGAGTGGATGGCGCACAAAAAGTGAATTCGTTCACCATCAATATTCTCGCTGCTCGAGCCATGCAGCCTACAGGGAACCATCAAGCGGCTATGAATGATATATTTTTGACCATGAATATATCTCATCGCGAACTTCACAAAAAAATGTGGCACACATATGTGAAGCGAAATTTGACACCTGCAGCTAATCGCGCGGCCGAAAAGTGATGGGCGAGTGCGCGAGTGCAGTTCGCGAGCTGTACAAGGAGCTGCATATTGATTATGCCGACTGTATTGCAGTCTCGTACGACGGCTCCTGGATGACGCGCGGGCACTCGTCCCACATATGCGTGGGTGCAGTGATCGAGCTCTTCACTGGCCTACTGCTGGACTACGTGGTTTTGAGTACTATTGTGCCGGGTGTGAGCATGGACCGAAGGAAGACGACCCGGCATATCAGGCTTGGCGGGACACCCACATGTGACAAAAAAATAGTACAAAAAAAAAGCTGTCAAAATGGAAGTTCAGGCAGCAGTGCTCCTCTTTGAGAGGTCCCTAAAAAAAATGGCCTGAAATACACGACAATCTTGTCAGATGGTGACAGCCACACCTTTCTAGCTTTGCAAGAAGCGGATGTCTACGGCATCATAAAAGTACAGAAGGAGGACTGCGTCAATTACGTCCAAAAGCGTATGGGCACTGCCCTACACAATTTAGTAGCAAGACAAAAAGGAGGTGACTGTGAAACCCTTGGAGGAAGGGGAAAGCTCACCGGGGACCTCACCACAAAGTTGAGTTCTTATTACGGCTGGGCGCTTAAATCTCACAAAGGAGATGTTGACGCCATGCACAGAGCTGTGATGGCGACTCACTATCACGTCACTTCTAATGATAATGAGACGAATCACAGCCTGTGTCCCACAGGCCCAGACCCAGACTGGGCCTGTGTCAGCTGCGTTCTGCCTGCACCAGTCTGGGCCTGTGTCCCACAGGCCCAGACTGGTGCAGGCAGAACGTAGCTGCTGCCAAAGGGGAACCAGCTCCGAGGCACCATTACTATTTGCCTCAACATGTGCGCAAGGGTCTTCTGCCAGTATATGAGCACCTGTCTGGTAGAGGGCTTCTAGAAAGGCGCCAAAGAGGTAAAACCCAGAATAGCAATGAAAGCCTTCATTCTATGATCTGGGCTTTGGCACCTAAGCAGCGCCATGTTTCACTGTTTGCGGTTGAAGCTGCAGTTGCGGAGGCAGTAATGAAATTCAACAGCGGCAACTTGAGAACGACAACAGGCATCCTTGACGAACTCAAACTCAACCCCAGCCTGACCGAGGAGGACAGGTGACGAGTGGCTGACTCAAACCGCAAGCGTGCCTCGAGTGAAAAGCTCCAGCAAGCACTAAAGAAGCGCCACTGCAGTGCTAAGCACCAGTCAGACTATGTTCCTGGTGGATATTAGCATCTACTTTGTGACATATGCATTTTCTTACTGTTTTTTTTGTGTATAAAGCGTGTGTTATCTTTTTTTGCCATTTTTCTCAAAATGTGAATTTATGACTCTGTTCAAGTTGAGGCCTCAATATCTCGGCAGCTAGAACAATAAATCTTTTTGCTATAGAAACCAGTATGTGTGTAGAATGGAAGTATGGAAATGGAATTTAGAAAACAAGCCTTTTCAATTAATTATTTATCAAATTTGTAATAGCATGCCAACTGCTTTTTCAGAGTGTAAAATTCAATCTGGCATAAAATAACTAAAAAAGTCAAATAAAATAAACTACTTCCAATATTTCAATCTTCCATCATTATTCTATGTTGCTATATCTTAAATGTTGCTTTTAATTCGGCACTTTTTTTCTAACGAGGCCTTATAAAATGGGGGTAGAACTTGCATTATCTTGGGAATGAGATGAGTTATAGAAAAAGTAATTGCACATTTGAAATGAGCAGAAAAAACTGCACAAGCCTGTGCAGTTTCATCAAGATCACTGAAGGAATAAGGAAAAAGTGTAGAAAAGTAGTCTGCCCTCTTAAGGGGAGATGCGTGTCGAAAAACCGAGATTTTTTTCGAAAAAGTCGAATTTGTGTTTTCTTGCGTTTTGTATTTCTCCAAGCCTTCTCCTTAATATATTAAAAAATCAAAGCTGAGAATCAGCTAGAAGTTATCGAAAAATACAATTAAAGAACTCGCGGTGGCTCGTGAAAGTGCGAAGTTACCCGATTTTCACGCACGCGGCACTTCGCTCTACGGCATCGCCGGCTCTTGAAATT